TTAATGAGATAAATATGCCCTCATATCCCCAGTCAAAAATGCCCGAGATCCGTCTTGGCAGTGATAGGGAGCAGTGGCAAAAAACRAAGTCTCCCTTTCTACTGATGTGGGCGATCCTGAAGCTACAACAATTACTGGAATTCCAGTCAGGAARGAGAGGAGGAACAAGCAATGCTTTTAGCTTCTGAGACAGATCARGGCACGTTTCCCTTCTGTTTCTGAATGCCCTGTTCCAGGGAAACAATCCCTGCCAGAACTCTCATGGGACAGCGCATCTCTGCAGCTGTCCATGCGTAACCCTCCAGATGRAGGAAAAATTCAGCTTTAAATCTAAAATGAAAAGCGAACTGTTTTATTACAGTCTAAATGCTCTCGACTTCACTATGTAGGTATTTTAAGAATCTACTTCACAATTCAACAAAGTCATAAGGTTTTTAACAGGAAGACCCTTTATTTAAGTTGTGCAAGATAAAAAAATCTCACAAAATTCTTACTGACAATTTCCAACAAGTTTCTATGGTAAAGTCACTTGGAAATGCCTTTAATGAATCAAAACAGAAGGAGAAAAATTGTCTAATATTTATGTCTTCTCAATTCTATAGAGATGTTGCTGTAAGAAATGTAAATCAAGAGATCAGGTCTTAAAGTTTTATTCACTGTGGTTTTAATACACTATGTGCATCTTACTCCACTATTGCCAGAGATGTCTGCAAGAACACTGAATGAATATTAAGAAGGCCTACCATGACTCTTGCTATGAAAGTAGAGATTAAATTCTAAACTTTTAATCTACTCATTGGATCCATAYGGGAAAATTTGGTCTTGCATCTGGGAATATGCCAGCAAAGATATGCCAGACGAGCTGCACTGCGTGTTTGACCAGAATGGAAACACTGGCAGTTAGATCTCAAGGATCAGAAGTTACATATTTGTTTTCAATACTAATGTGTGCAGAGATGTACAGCTCCATTGATAGGTGTACATTAGCATGTTTCCACATGCATATCCCAAATACAGATTATCAGTCCTTTGAGTCCAGRAAAACATCTAAGTTTTGAATACTAATGCATTTCAGATTAAGCAGGGTTTCTCCAAGCCATTAAGCAGAAAGCAGGGCAGCATACAATGATGTATCATACAGTTTTAATGCCAACCTTAGCCAGGCAATTCAATGAAATTCTGCTTCAGACAGGTAAGTAATTTTGAAAATATTTAGCAGAYCCCTACTAAAAATATCTGCCTGTTTAAGTAATCACTATTCCAATAGTTCTGTTGCTCCCTAAAGTAAATGATAACTTATTAAACCGTACCCGATCAACCATAAAATACTATTTACAGCAATACAACCTATCTTCTGTTAGCACTATGTAGCTGTGCAGTGAACTGGAGGAAAACAAAGAGCCACAGCCTGTCACACCACTGCTGCAGAGCACCAGGCTTGCTCCTGTTGCTGTCATCTTTGTTAGGAGAAGACCTGAGCAAGGATGGAGAAACTCCAACATCCCAGGGATCATCCAAACCTCATCTGGGTGAACTGAAGGAGTTCAACTCCCCAGCTGCCATCAATAAACCACGAGGAGTCAAAGCAGCACCACGGCAAAATCCCAATGCTTTCAAACAAGTCACCATTTAAATTGAGAGTTAACTGATTCCAAATTTCCATCAATAAATAAAGACTGTGCATAAGAATCCAACATTCTTCTTTAAATCTATTCAACACCTCCAAAGGCACAATTGTGTGGACAACAATGAAGGCAAAATTAGGACTCAGCAGCAACTGTGGAAGGCTTGTAAGATCATTAACTAAAGATAATCATGTAGAGGTAAATTCTCAGGCATACAGCACAAAGTCATCAGACTWAGTTTGTAAATCATGTCATGCACAGACAATAGTAAAACTTCCTATTCGAGATAAATAGACTTGGCATCAGATAAACCAGATAAAAATAATTTCCAAGAGATACAGACAAAAAATCCCTAATTAATGTCTACATATAATGTAAACTACATGGAGGGGAAATTCCTTTCTAAAATTACTTAGTTCAGATTTGTTTGTGCTGAAAATGCTTATAAAACAAAATGCTGTCTKAGGGTAATTTGAGTATTTGGGTCATATCTTGTGCTTCCCATACGTGATAAAGACTCTTATATGCCCAAGACTTAATTTAATAAACTTAACTACAGACAATGTTCTAAAAAACCAGCTTACTCAGAAGAAACATCAAGCACATTAAGCAAGGGTTTGATTAATGTATAGCAATCCATCAATTAAGATTAATTCACCACTGTTGATCATTCTAGAAAATATGGTAGAAATCCAAAATAAGCAACCATAAATCTACAAGCTATGAATTAGGAAAAGAAAATTAATTACGAGGAAAAAAATATTCCTAACAGCTTCAAAACACCCATTCTGGATGGCTGAGGTCTGAAATCTGGCAGCCTGGAACACATTCCAAATCAACTCCATTTTGTACATTACAAGCAAAACTGACCATTTAAATCACACAACTACAGTTCTGGAAATCACTATTTAGTATTAATTTCTGAAAAAGGCACTTATTTTTAATGTTTCACAAATAATTTCTGAGCAAACCATAGGCTAGAGGCTTTTATGCCACATTCACCTTCTAATAGCATCTTCACAGAGGGGTTTAAAAAAAATTACATTTATTGCATACCAAGTATGGCATCTCACTTTTTGAAACCTTCACCTTTCTAAAAAAGAAAGTTTTTCTCCAATAACCATGAAAACACCACTAATAATAATAACCTTTTAATAAAGTCGAGAACTCATACACAGTTTTGAACAGTACATATATTCAGGAGATGACATGCTTCCTCTCCAATCCAGATGCCCTGTTGACATGAGGAGTAATACCTATAAAGGCAGAATTTAGCCATATCTACCACTACTCCCATAAGTATTCATTCTGCAATACTCCAGACAATACTCTGTCTGTTCAGACCTACTCCTACAGACAATATAATAAAAMACACTGGAGGATATAATCAAAACAGTTCTAGATAACCGATTTTTGTGGTGCAATGACTTWCACAGCTGTAAGTATTAAAAAACCCAATATGCTGGCACAAAAGAAATGGTCACAACTTCTTTCTCCTACTTAGGAAATACCTTTTTTTCCATAAACAAGTAGCACAATAGTTACTTAGTTTTCATGTAACACTAACTAAAGCAGACTATTATAAGTGTTTTTCGAAAGAAAAGTCTTTATATTCAGACAGTGTAATGGTACTCCCACTGAAAGCCACAGAAATGCTACTGCTGACCTCAGTGGGAGTAGAACAATTCCAAACGGCTCCAACTTTTCAGATTTTCCACCACAATGTCTCTTGCACAAAAATGCAATTCAATCTCATCATCAAAAGCCACAAACCAATAACCAATCAAAATAAACCTTAAATTGCTTTGTAAGTTAGCAGTCTCACTCAAATGAGTTGCACTKGTAAAGAAAATGACTAGCATTCTATAGGGCTGACAGGCAATACATTGAAAGCACCATCACTCTGAAAATGCATAGCTCTCCTGATTAAGGGTGACGCACTCTTTAAAAGGAATACAGAGAATACCTCACTTATGAAACAAGGAATCAGACTTAGACATGAACTCTGTAAAAAGGCCCTTTGGTAATGATAGCACAGTTAGTACTGCTTCTTCAGTGTAGAAAAAAGCAGGAAGGTTTTCAAAGCTGTACATTCCTTTCCTTCAAAAATATACTGCAGAACAATCAACAGATACATGTTTGTCATGTCTCCACAAACAGCATTTCATCTGATTGCCTGCTACCTTTTTACCTAATTTTGAATGAGTGGTGAGGCTGTARCACCTTTTATTCCTGTCAATTTATTCCCTTTCCCCCCTACAATAATTTTCCTTTGCTCTAAATACCACAGATTTCACCTCAGGCTGACTATTATAGTGAAAAATCCCCTAAGAAATCCCCCACCTCTTCTATATTGCTYAGGATATTCTGAAACAGTAGCTTTCAGTTTTGCTTGTACTGTAAAGTGCATTCCCATCTTTTACCCAAAAATCTACTTYCCCTAAAACAAATTTAAAAGGAGACTAATAAAAAGTAATGAAAGCTTTTAAAAGTCTGAACTATTCAATCAATTTTATTCATTTAGAAAGTACAGCTGTCTTCTGGTTTTAGTCATTTAAGAGATCAGGGTTTTTTTTAATTATGTTCCTTTATCCCAGTGTAAATGACTTTTCCTTGTGTAAGGAAACTTCTGCCTGGTTAGGTCTCAGGAATGACTTCCCAGATCAGTGAAAGTCATACAAATTAATAAATTGCTTCATCTCTGACTACACTGATTGTAGAGTTCTGGCAAGGGCCCTTCACTTAGAGCAGGGAGGCTCTGCTGCAGCAAGACCCACATCCCACCACACCCATAGGTAACCACTGAGTTTCTAACTGTAACAATCACATGCCACAGATTTCTGCACAGAGAGCTCTGAGAAAAAAACCCAAATGAAATTTCTCTGTACAGCTGAACACAAAACTGAGGCGCTGACAAAGGGCAGTCAGGAGGTGGGAAGTCAGTTCGCCTCTTGTCTAACAGCCTGACAGCAGCAGAACAAAACATCTTGAAAAGGCCCATTTATAAATTTTTGGAAGTTTTATTATTAGCTACATCACATGCAGTTGATTATTCTACATTTTGATTATAGCAGACATTTGTTTTTATCTGGTGATTTGGTATTCCAAGCAGGCTAATTCAAACTCTTGCATATTTTAGCCACACTCAGTTCAAAAGTCCTTCTGTTTGAGAGAAAGGTCATTACAGGCTATTACTATAAAACAAATTTAGCCTTTCATCCCTTTATGTTGGCTAAAGAATGTCAACTGTGAGACTGTAACTCTTTTAATCTATTTATTGTCCCAGACAATTCTGCTTTCTAGATTTCATACACACAAACACGTGTAGAAATGAAAGTAGTACAAATATATGTAAAAAATTTTGCCAACTCTTACCACCCTTTCAGGCGAGTTGTTAGGGCCCTCCCCTTGTTCATAAAGCACTCAGTTATGGATATCCCTGGAAAACATAAGAGGCAGATCAAACTCTGAATAAACTCTGTAATTAGTGTGACTAAAGGTTTGCTGACCTCAGTAATGAGACAACTCCATATACAGTTCATAGCTCAAAACACCTGCTAAAACTGCACTGCTGTCCCTAGTCCAAAACAGCCTAAGTCAAGACTTTCGTCAGACTCCAGACTTTCTACTTCCCCAAATCAAAGTTCAAGGCTGAAACTTCCATCTGGTTTGAACACTCTAGTATGTGGAAAAGTTTCTACTGAAATCTCTGGGTTATGAAATTCAAAAATCACTTGTTTTAGGTGTACTGTAATGAGATGCAAGAAGAACCAAAATGCTTCTCCTTATTTTCTCTTTGCTTAAATGCGTTTTTTCCTGGATCATACACCTGATTTCACTGACCTAACATACACAAAAGGTTTTCCACCGAAAACAAACATAAGTTACAAGGAAACTGGAGTATTTTTCAGACCAAGTTCACAGTAACACAAAGTATTAATTCCCAAGGAACACAAACACTTTCTTGGGCTACATTTTACCAAGTTTTGATAATTTCTTTGTGTCTAACTCCAAAAATCATAAATCTCCAACTGTTTTCCCTGCTTTTCTTTCCAAACTAGAAATACACACAATTCCATAGGTATGCTGCAAGTTGGAAGTCACACCTTCCATGTAGAAAACTCCGAACAAGCAGCACTGGGACTCACAGGAGAGGATAAATTTTACTCTAAACTTATAATCTAAAAAACTTTAGATGTCAGATTCCTCTACACAACTACCTCAGATTGCTTTTATGAAGGAAGACTTCGGGGTWTGTCCCCAATTCTTGTGAGCAAGCAACATGGAAGGTGTTGTCACCTTTCATGGAAAATTTTATGTTTCATTTCATAAGTTACAAGTTATAAGACAACAATATGTCTCAATGCAGACTTTAGGATGACACAATGAAAATTTAGCTAATTACTAAACAGGATGCTTTATTTATCTTCAACTCTGATAAGTAAATGCTTTTAAGGGCTGCAGAACAAAGGAGAAACCACAGCACAAAGATGAAAAACACAAGCAAGTGGAGCACGTACACGGAAATTCAGTTTGTCACAAAATAAAATTCATTAAAAGGGTCATGTTGTTCCAGAAACAGCACTGAGTGAGACGGTATAATCATAAAAAATGTGTTGAATCAGTACAAATCCAGCCTCAGGCAAGAATTTTCCTCAAAAGTTTGAGTTTTAATAGCAATTCAGACTCTGCCTGATGAGCAATTCCATCCAGAGGTCAGAAGCAAAATCTTGCCAAAGTTCGCCTTTTTAAAAACATTTCTCCAAAGAAYAAAATGAACACAAAATTTCCTCTGATCCAAAAGAAATGAAGTTATAATGATCAGAAATAATATTGAACAGACTTCAGCAGGATAATAYTAGATATTAAAAAATGCCACTATTAGCTTGATAAAGTTTAAAAACATTGCAACCAATCTTAAACTGCACTTCTAAAATTGAATATGGCAATCCTGTATGAGCCATTTTAAAAGAAAAACAGAAGTTGWCAGCAAGCTGATTTAAGTTTTCAATATATCAAGATATAATTTGAGCTACAAATCTGGATACCCTGCTACCTACACAAGCCTGTAAGATCTAGGAAGAGTTCAGGAAGACATTATATGTAATTAATATTTATGTATAACGTTTTCTCTTTTATAAGCAACTTTGCTCAAAAAATATGTTTGATATTCTGGTAATTCACAATTGATTTAAAATTCATCTCTTTCCAGCACCTGAAGATGCTCATGGGAAGAGAAATTTAAATGTAGTATAAAAATTATTGATGCGAACAATCACCTACTCTGAAAACAGATCCCTAACTTTTTGCAATGCCATTTCCTAAAATTGCAAAGGGTATGGATTCAGTGATTTTGGCTATCTTTGTTCACTACAGCTGAGTAAAACATTAGTTAAGCCAAGCAGCAGAGCAAGRGAACGAGCTTTCCAGCCTTTACTCGTAACCTTGTTTAAAAAGTTTAGYCTGCCAAATTCCAGGTCCCAGAAGGTCTGAACTTCTCAGGAACCAAGCCAACCTTGAAACTACAGAAGTAGTACAAGTRGAGTTGTATTTTGAACTGAAATCAGTAGCATGGCTTAACACACAACAGTAAGCAAAGAAGAAATGATGGAAGTAGAGTCTGTCATGTGCTTGAACAAGCTTCATTCTGCCGGACGAGAACCAACGAGTCTCTACTCTGACTGCACTAAGGAGTCTTGTAATAGGTCTCTTATAAATATTCAGTAGATCCACCATGGCAGCAGCTCCAAACAGAGTGAAGGGTGAAGGTCTCTTAAAGAGCAGCTCTAAGCATAACGCAGCCAATTCTGACTGGAACCTGATGCTGAACCAACGCCAGCTGACAAGGGCRTGACCTTCTATTGATGCTGAAAATGATGACTTGGTTCAAAAATTGTTTCGTTTTGCTGCCACAAATTTAACAGCTCAGGCTTTGTCCCCATGAGATGAGTAAAACATGCTCATTAAGTAACCTGCTTCCAGAGAGACAGGATTTTAAACAAAGGCTAAGCACCTTTATTTTAATATTACAMATATGTCTTCAAGGTGCTTTAACGCAGACCAGTTGTTGAGGTGCAAACCGAGCACAGCTCACCCAGTCCCAAACTGCCACAGGACACGTTCTCCACAGGAAGACTGCACTGATGGAAGTTACAGGTAATACAAAATGTGCCAGCAAACAGCACTGAGCAGAAATACAGCTCAATACACCATCACAGCAATTCAGAGCCTCTTCAAATATGTGCACAAATAAAAGGAAATAATTTTCAATTTGTTTATCCAGTCTAGCAAGAAGGACAATTATGAATTATTTTAGCAACTTCTTTCAGTCCAAAATATTTACTGCACATTGTTTTCATCTTCCTAGTTACTGACATGCCAATATCAGACAATATCTGTTACAATCAACTTGGATTTACTATTCCTACCAGCTGTCTTAAGCCTAACCAATAAATAAATATTGAACAAAAAAGGGGATGAGAGTATCCAAATGCCACAAATTTAAGCAGGCTGTTATTTCTTACTCTGAATGCAGTAACAAGAACTCCAGAGGCCAAAATGYTCCAACTGAGCTAACTGTGGCTTCCTGCTGCTGTTACCAACATGCTACTGTAGAAAAGTAATTGCAAATATTACTCACAAAGCACAAAATAGAAACAAACGAGATAATRGAAGAAACACGTATCTTCTGGCAAAAACAAAACTCATTAGAAGATTATGTTCAATATAAGTCAATATRCTTTGAAGCCAGCTGTAAAAAGTGACAGTGGAAGTGTTTAAATTTAAATAAACCTCTTAAAATTCTTTGTTGCACTAAAGGCAGAAGTTTGACCTTAAATGTTWATTTAAATGGATACAACCAAGTTGGTTAAAAAACACAAAGTGTGACCTCATGAAGGCAGTGGCTAATGGTGCCCTCAGACCTGCAGCCACATCCCAGCCTGACTCAGCTCTCTCCATCCAGATCCACCTTCACGGCCAGCACAGGAAAAGGGACATTCACTGACAGCTTATCCCCACTGGGAGAAACMTAACGGGAGATTGTCTTGCAACCCTGGAACTACTTTCTGATTTTTGCACCATAGACACAGAAGAACTGGGATTGGAAATACCCCTGGATATCACCTGGCAACTCTCCTGTTCAAAACAGAGTCCATTTGAACAAGTTGCTCAGGATCTTTTCCAGTCATATTTTGAAAATCTCTAGGAACATGATCTCCACAATCTCTGGCYAACTTGCTCCAGAACTCAGTTCACACTTAATAGCAAATATTTCTCAGTTTTTGATTGAAATAAGACTCCTCCATTTTGTACCTGTCAGTATACAAGGCTGTGCTGCTTGCTGTAATATTCTTGATCCGTGCAAACTGCTTAAATCAATGAGCTCCAAAAATGACAATGAGATGTATAACCATGAAATTTATTGACCATGCCTGCATGCATTAGTAATCACACAGTATGGCCTCTGGGTCCGATAATGCAGAGCTGGATTCCTTCATCTTCCAATGACTGCTCTAAATTCCCAGTCACACAAGGACACACAAAACAAGCACACTTTTCTTTTTTTTTAGTCCTAGATATGACACCTACTTTAAACCAGTTGGATTTTGTCTTGTTATTATACATAGTTAGTAAGTTTCTTTCAATTCCATACTATCAAAGGTATTTTAAATACTTAGTTTCTCAGAAAATCTACCRTTAATACACCTTGTCTCAAAAAACATGTGCAAAAACCAGTTATTCTTAGGGGGATCTGGCAGAAACTTGTATGAACTCAATGTTCTTGAGATTTCTATCAGAAATCAGTCACTTGATTTCATGTGAAATGACAAGCATGCAYACAAGCATGTTTTTTTGTTCTCTGTTACAAAAGTCTCAAGTGACATTTGCTGTAAGAAGAACAACGTTAACAGCCAGTGAAATGTCAAAAGGTTTCCCAAGGAGAAGTCAAATCTGTTCATGCTTCCAACTCTTAAAGCACCTGAGTAATTCAGGTGTACCCAAACTACACCTGGGTGAAGAAGAGGGAAATAAATATCAGGTGTTAACCACTAATATTAAACTGCGTACTGTTGCATTTGTGCATAATGCCTTTCTCATTTTACATTCTCTAGAAAAAAATGCTTTGAGACATTTTTCCCCAATAGAATTTTCCAACTTGCTGTAACTGTTTTATATCAGTGCAGCTACTGAAGTCACTTAGTTTAGAGTACAAGACTGATAATTAAGTCAGCCTATTTCAGGGTCTTCCCCCTCCCCCGGCTTCTTCATGACAGCTATTTTCATTCTGGACTCTCCACACACTCTGTGCACCTGTAATCTGTATCTACATTGTATTAGTAGGATCCTCCTAATTAGATTTAATTTCTTCAAGTGAGGAAAAAAGTGACATGCTAAGCCTGCCAGTTCTTTGAAGAATGTCCTAGAAGGTCAAATGGT